TTACACAGTTAATAATAAAAACCATTTACTATGCAAATATTTGATCGGCTGGCAGGTCAGCGGGGAGGAGCGGCGAACGAACGCCCAAGGATCTCCGTCCATCTCCGGCAATTTTTCACGCTTAGCATATGGGGGGGAAATTTTTGAATTTTTGGCAGCTGGATGGATGAAAGATGAGCGGAGTCAAGTCGGAGGGCAAGTCAAGTGCCGGGGAAATGTGTTTGCAATGGGCTAAGTATGCCTTACACTGTGCACATGCATTTCGAAGTCCACCCTTCTCGACTTCTGCTCGTGTTTGCTTTGACTTTGAGCGTGGAGGAGCATCTATGAAAAATTAAAAAGGGATTTCCATGCGGCAGCTGAAAAGCATTTTCAATGGCGACTTGAGCAACTTTTCCACTCGCTCGCCTGTCAGCATTTTCTCGCTTTTTCTCGCCAAGATGATGCATGTCGGACATGTGCTTGAGATCGAGTGGAATGCGATGCAGGATGCAGGATGTGGCGGCTGGAAAATCTGAGAGTCAAGCCATGTGGCCTGCATTTAATTATGGGGATTTCCCTCAGTTTTGCCAAAGCCAAGAGAAGCTAATTTAACTGCGAGAATGTGAATTGCCTTGGCCAATATTCTGTGGTGAAAGCACTTTCTCTAACCACAAGTATGTTGGGTTATAATGATGGTATATATGCTCTATCGTTTCTTTGTAACTATAAATACTTTAAATTTCATAGATGATTCTATTTACAAAATTTCTTTATTTACCTTTCTAACTTTTACTAGTTACAAAAGTATTTTCTTATTTAATTTAAAAGTTAAGCTTCTCTCTGCTTGAAATATGTAAAAAAAAGAGGATGTAAACGTAAAAGCCCTTACATTTTATTGTCAATTTAGTCAAAGCCACTTCTGGCAATCACTTCTGGCCTCCCACCTCTTCTGGCCAACTTGTTTGCCAAAAACGAGCAACTTTTCGTTGCACTTTCAACTCATCTGAAATTGCGATAGGTCAGGTTTTGTCAACCCCGAGAAACGACAAAAGGAAAAACGGGTGAGTTTCCATTAAATTCTGCTGCTCGATTCATTCAGGGGGCAAAAAGGTGGCTGAGGACATCAATTTGCGGCCCTTCCTTTCGCTCTGTTAAACTCTAAATAAAATATAAAAGAAGAGAATGTTCGGGGCTTACCTTGTGCAATAATAAAAATTCGTTGTACAAGGTAGTTGGCAACTCGTAAAAGTGTTGCCAATGTTGATGTGGCTGCTGTTGCTGCTGCTGCTGTTGCTGCTGCTGCTTTTGTTGTTTTAGCATCAAATGCTTTGGCGAACTTTTGGCTTAGTTGCTGTTGTTGGCGATTTGTTGTTTTGTTACTTTTGTATTAGCCATAGGACATAGTTGTTGCCATCGTTGATGACCGAGTGAGTGGACCTGCTGCCACTGACGATGTTGATATTGCAGCCATGTTGCTGTTGCTGTTGCTGCTGCTGATGTTCATTGTTTGTATTTCGAGAGAGATAGAGTTTTAAAACGTTTTGTGCTTATTGTTTTAGCCACTTGTCATGGAATGAATTTGCAAACTATTTTATTTGCTTGTCTCATGCCCTTTTAGGCAATTGTAAACAATATCTGGCGCTTGCCCCTTTTTGCCTGATGAATTGTTTATGGGCATTTGGCTAACGATAAGGGAGAACAATAAAAATTTAATTTTTAAAATATATATTTGTTTTGGTGTGCGGATTTCACATTTCCCATCCACTGACGATGATGATGGCCATGGCAGCCCATATGCCAGAAGATTTATGACCAAACAAAAATGGCAAGACAGCCCCCGCCGAAACCTGCTCCCCAGTGCCCCATGAATTATGCAATGAAATTTATTTCATTTTTCCCTTATGGGGTGAGAGAGCACATGAGCATTTTTTAGGACTCTCGGAATCCGTCGACAGACTTCTGTTATTGTTATAAATGTGGGAGAAATGATTCTTTAATTTATGAAAACAGGGGGAAAAAAGTCAAGAAAATAAAGAACAAGTAGCGTACTTTTCACCCAGCTCCATTAAAGTAGCGCTGATAACTTTTCGAGGAAGAAAGGAGGGGGAAAAGTTTGCCCGAGGACCCGTTGACACCTCGGATCCTACAGGATACCCGACCTCGGCCACGCTTGCCTTCCTTCCACTTATTAGTCCTGCGTTTTGCAAATATTTGCATACGAGGCACGTTTCAGTCATTTTTCTTTAGCTCATTCCTTTTATTTTGTTCTTATTATTATTATTACTCTTGCTCCTTCGCTGTCACCCTCTCCCCCCTTCCCAAAGCTCTTCAAGATTTTCCCATTTTCGCCGTTTTCCTCGTCCTTTGTTAAAGTGTAAATGCGAGATTTCTTTGCACCATATTTAGGAAAATACGCAAAAATGGGTGAAAAATATGCAAAATGAAAAGTATTTAAATCAGTTATGAAAATTTTTAATGTCGACCAGTTGGTGTAGAGAACAGGAAATTACCCGAGAAAGTTTCTTCCATAAAAAGATAATAAAGGGTCATAATAAAGAAAAACTTTCCATAGGAAACACTTTTAATGAGATTCTTAATGAAGTTTCTTAATGGAGGAGAAGAAAAATAGTATGGGTTTCAATGGTACAGTGATCCTAATCAGGTTTATTAATTTATTTAAATTACAAAATTAAAATTAGTTTTCAAGTATTTAATCTTTCTCTTAATAAAAAGAAATTACACCCCAACCCGAACATGTCCGACACACTTGTTAAACATCAAAATACCAAGGAAACCCAAAACTTAGGGCCCAATTTAAAAGCTGCCTTGACAAGGACATCCCACCAATTGATATCCTCCAACATCTCGGAAAGAACTAATCCTTAAGACGACCCCCATAATCCACTTAATCCGCCGTGCCGAACACGTTGCCTCCTATCAGACAAATGATTTCGGAAAGAGAATAAAGGAGCGCTGTAAGGACATTTGGCAGGCTTCCTCATTTACCCCAAAGCCCCGCGACCCCTGATTGCCGCTGTATTTTCGGGTCCCTGCCACATCAATTTGTAATTTGTAAATGAAATTGCCTTTGCTGGCTTCCCTTTATTTTCGCTTGCTCCCTTTTTTTTTCTCGCGCCCACCAGTAAAATGCAAATTTGTCAAATTGATTTAAAGCCTTGATGTTGGCCAATTTAAATGCCAAAAATTAATTACACATGCAGGAGGCACACGTACTGAGGAGTAGGAATTTTTTCCTTTGTTTTGTTTTGTTTCCTGTGCTTTCAAAAATCACTTGACACTGCGTTTCGGGTGTTTCGAACCTTTTGATCTTTCCGGGCAGCTTGGTTGATATTCGGATATCACTGCCCGATTCCCGAGAATCTCGATTCGCACTGTCACCTCTCACTTTTTACTGTGTTGGCAGCTCCCGGCCCAAGTCAAGTATCCGCACCGTTGGCCCGCCGCTAAACGAACTCCGCCGCGCTCCCGAGTGAACTGACTTGCAACCACGAGTACCGCCAGCAGGTGACCCGACCTCAGCTTCGTTCACAAGCCGAACCTCGTCCTTATCAGAGCCGAAGGGACCACACGAGAGAGCGCAACGCAGTCGCAGAAGAGACAACCGGCTTTTGTTGGTGTATGGTGAATATAAGTACACCATGCATTGGTGTAACATACCATGTGCTATAGTGAGGTGTGGTGAATTTGCAGCTCTTATCAGTTATCAGTGTGTGTGGAAGGCTCTTATCGCCAGTCTGCCAGTACCACATCCTTCCCTTCACATCCTTGCGGGTGCCTTCGGCCTGACGAATGTGGGCAGGCGTCTGCCTGGAATGTGCCAAAATGTCGAGCAAACAAACAAACGTCGCCAAAACTGGTTTTTGTTTGTTTGTGCTTGAGGCTAAAACCGAATCACTTGCCAGCGGGAAGAGCTTGCTGTTGGATTTCAAGAAAGTCACTCTGTTTGTCCGATATGTCAGCAGTCAAGTTTTGGGGTTAAAGGTCGGGCCTATTACCTTTCATAATTAGCTGTCTTTCTTTACCAAAAGGGTTGTGATTATTTTACATTTAAATTATAATAATTAAACGGTAGCGAAATTATTAATCATATTGTTTTTAGCTACAATCTTCGGTTAAAAACAAATTCATGACTGAAATCTTGCATTTACTGAACTTTACCCTATCCTACAGCATCCTGATAAAGAGCCACTCCGTCGTATTTGAATCCTGCTTTTCTGCAGCCACATCCTCCTCCTCTGTCAGTTTGTCAGCCTGTCACCTCGGTGGTACATTCATTCCTACTCTTTGCCGGAGAGTGTTTTGTTTTTGACCAGGCCAGCACGATGCTCGACAAAAGGAAATCCATCGCACGTTCCTCACTTTCTGCGCTTTCCTCGGGGCGAAATCAATGCAGCGGCATGTCAGCCTGGTTTATTGGCTTCCATTTGGCCCGCTAAAGAGGCCAAACTAATTACCGTGCATAATAAATCAGATCCCTGTCATAGTCTGCCATTAGTTTGACACCACCCGCTCCTCGAGGTCTTCTAGCATTTATGCAAATTGGAAGCATTGCCTGGCGGTGCCCGGGGGCGAATATCTGCGCTGTATCGTGGACTCGGACACGGACTCGGACGGACGGTTGCCTTCTGCATTATTAATTGCAATTTGTTTGCTATTTTTTCCAAGAAAAACTCCCGGTTGTAACCTAATAATGGTCAAGCACGGGGCTTGATTTCATCAGTGTGAGTAGCTGGGGCTTTTTCCTTTGCCTTTTTTCCCCCCTCCTGACAATCGAGTTTATTTATGCAAAATTAATTGATTTCTATTGAAAACGAAGGGATAGCAGAGAATGCAATTGACACATTTTCCCCAGGACAGGACACGACCAGGCCAGAGGACCGGGGCCCATAATGACGGGTAATTTATAATTGTGGCTCAATTGAGAGCTTTTAAAATGAGATCCTGCGGTGATTGGGCCAAATTGCCACAAATTGGATCGCAATGGGAAAGAGGGAAAATATTCTCTGAGAATGCCCTAGTTAAAAAGCATTCTTTAGGTCTTTTAATTCAGTCATTGAAACTTTTAAACAAGACAACAATTAATTTAAGCTGCTAATACTGAAGGAAAGACTGATTTCTAAGGAATGGAATACAGATTAATTAAGTATAGTTGCTCGATTTTAGTTCCCACCTTAATTGCCTGAAGAAGTTAACTCGCTTTCGAATCTCGGTTAGATGGTGCATATGATCGTCAAGGAATTTGGAGTCCATTCCCGTTGTAAACTCGAAGTCATTCTTGGGTATGCGATTGAACATCCAATCAGGAGACTCGGTCTTTGGGGCCAGTGGCTTGCATCGATTGGGATAAGGTTGGGAGAATTGTCTTTTATAGGTGGAAAGCATAGGGGGTTCCATACTTTCATCCTCATCGCCGGTACCATAACGGGGACTTTAAGAAGATCTTTTTTAATAAAGAAAGCTATAAAAATATCTATGAAAACTCTTACTCTTCCATACTGAAGGACTGAAAGTTGAGCAGCTTTTTCCTTTGCGAGGGAATCGCCTTTAGTCCTTTTGCGCCTTCCTCGAGCATTGCCTGTGTTGTGGTCTGCCACTCATCCTTGCCTATAGGTTCCCACAGTTTGGTCGCCTTTTTTTTGCCGGCCATTATTTGATTTGGAATCGAAGTGTTCTACGGATTCTGAAGGGTTTCTCAAAGCGAACTTATTTTGCGTAATTTACCGAACACGAAAACAGAAATCCCATCATTAGGCAGGGAAATGTAGAAAGTGAGTCGATGCACCATATTATGAATGCCACAATTGAATTCACAAGCGGATTTATTATGGGCGGGGGGCAAATGGTTTTCTGATTCAATAGCCGATGAAAATGAAAATCGAATAGTGGGTCAGTAGTGGTGGCAAAATGCACAGGATCAAAGCCAAAGTGGGTGGCATGTGGGTGGTGAGTAGTCCGTATTCAGTGCTTAGTGTGATGTATGTGTGTTTAGTGGGTAGCCCGGCTACAATGGCCAATAACAATGGCCGTTTGGCTCTTTGGCGTTTCTCATAATGAGCTGCCACCTCTGTTTGCTCGTGCAGCGACATTAATACGGGCTAATTAAACAAATATTATGTGCATCCCTCTCTCTCTGTGTGTGTGGGTGGATTGGGGATGGGTGTGAGTGTAATTCGGAGCGGAGATGGCAAAGTGATTTTGATTTTGGCTAGTTTTGAAAATATATTGTTTTGAGTTCATAAAACTACCTGTAGAATTAAAAGTTTAAGTATAACTATTCTAATTTGTTTTAAACATGCAACAAACATTGTAAAATTTGCATTTGTATACCAATTTTTATACCCTTATTATAATTGTACTCAGACATTTGTTATTATGTGAAAGACGCATTTCCGACCCTTTAAATCAAATATATTCTTAATCAGCATCAAAACATGAGTTAATCTAGCCATTTCCATGGAAAAATTAAATTTGAATTTTTTTTTTATTTTTGTGATCGTTAAAATTGTCAAAAATCGACATTATTTAACATTTTAAATTGAGTATGCAGTTTTGTTGCCATAATAAAAACTACCACGGGACAGGTATTCGATTTGAAATTACTGCATTTTGGGCTGAGTTATGAGTTTTGGAAAATTTGATTTATAGACAAAATTGTCATATAAAATATAGAAAAAATCAAGTCAGAGAAAGGTATTAAAGGTTTAGTCAGAAGCTTGAAAAACAGTGAAGGAGCCATTTCCTACCCCATAAATCATATATATTATTGATCAGCATCAACAGCTGAATCGATCTAACTATGTCCGGTTGAGATAAAATTTGTGACAATTTTTTCGACTTTTGCGGATAAAGATAAGGGTTAAAATGTTCAAAAATTCACAAAAATTTGAAGTTTTTTAACATTTTAAGTGAAGTATGCTGAATTATTACCCTATCAAAAGGTAATACAGAACCGCTTTCCGATTTGAAATTAATGCTTTTTTGGTTTAGTTGAGTTTTTAAAAATCGTGCTAGTCGGATTCTTGTCGTTTCAAATGCGAACATTTCAAGTTTAGTTGTGATAGATTTCCGAATACATCCTATAACTTCATTGCAAACTGCAAGGCTTTAAAACATCAGCTTTCCGAAGTTCGTTTCTTTTCGTAGTTCTAAAATAATAAATACTTGTTCTAGGTTAATTCAGTAACCTGTAAATAATAATAATAAAATATAATTCGCAACTTTCAAAGCCCACTCCCATCCTGAATCACGTTCTCATCTCGATCAGCTTGAGTGTATCTATAATCGTGCTTCTGCATATCGGACATGGGGTCATCGATGACACCAAACCGAATGTTCAACAACATAATGCCGCCGCGGCAGATTCCGGGAAATCGGAAGTGAGGCAGAAAATGAAGGGGGATGCTGAAGGGGAGGAGATGAGGATGTGGCGGCCATGTGGCTCATAAATTATGGGGTAGCATTTTGCATGCTCTGCATTTTGCGATGCATAATTTGCATTTTTAAGCATTTTCACAGTGCATTGGGCATAATTAAAAGCAACAATGCCACGGACAATAGCGAAAGAAAGTGCAGCTTCGATTTTGAATTGGATTTCAAGGGAAACCTCGAAGGGACAAAGCTTGAGAAAGAGAGGAATCTATTAAGGGATTAAATAATTAAATTAAATTGCAATATATTAAATGTATTTATAAGTAGCTTTTAACTCCATATAATTTAATCTTATTTAATGGGAAAACTTTGTTAAGTTAAGATGGTTTTTACTAGGCTTTTAATACAATATTTTTTGTATTGCATTAATAAATAAATTCTCCTTCTTCGCAGTGCATTGATATCTATGACTTTGGAGCTTCTCACCTTCAACTTTTCTTCGTCTCCCCTGCCACCAAGTTGACTTTTACAAGGTCTTCTCTGGTCTGTCTTGGCTGCTGCAGGGGCAGGCAGCCGTGGCGCACTTAACAAATTAATGTCAAGCCACAATAAAAGTCAACAGCTGGTTGCAGGTTGAGGGCGGCGAAAGGCAAAAGCTGAGTGCAATGTCATGCTGCGTCTTAAGTCGGTCTCGGGGTCGTTTTGGGGGTGGTGTGGCATGGTGTGGCATGGTGTGGTGGCACGTGCAATGAACAGAATCCGACACACATAAGTTAAACAAATATACTGCGCACCCGCGCAGACATAAAAATGCAGATGCAGTTGCTTCCCAGATGCTCGGCGCCATAAAGTCTCTCCCGGGGAAGAGGAGAAAAACTGCACCTGCTGCTGCTGCCAAAGATGCCAGATTCGAGATGCGAGATTCGAAATTCGAGCTCTGAGAAGATGCTGAATCAAATTCAGATATTAAATAATCGAATTCCTTGCATGCACATGATTTCATATTCACATTCACACACATTCATCCAGATTCGCACTCATTCCACATTCGCAATCCGCACTTTAACTCACTCGGGAGGGAAAGTTTTCCCTTTCGGGCCAAACATTTTCCAGCAGCTGTTTTGTATCTTGCATCTTTAAGCATCTTTCTTCTTGACATATAATTTTTATGAGGTTTATGCAGGAGCGTGTTAAAAGGGGATTTTCCAAAACCATCACATGCTCCTAACCCATATTACAGATATTTATATTACACAATTTCATAAATATATTTCTCCCATTTTTAACTTTACAGCTTCTTAAACAAACATCAAATTTTAACTTTAAGTGAATCCTTCTACTTGAATTAATGTACAGCTCTGGCTTCGCATAGTTTCTGTATCCTTTCGTTTTCCTTTATGGGCAAAAACTTGTGGCACGCCCCCCAACTTTTGATGGCTGAGGTGTGAAATTTTCCAAGCATCGCGAGGCAAATAGGCATAAAATTATTTAAAAACTCGGGCGCGGGGCTGCATAAAAGGAGGCAGGATAAATGCGTGGCATTTTCTTCTCTTTATATTTTCACACTTCACTCGCTTTTTATCCATTTTCTAGTCCTGAAGTGATGAATGAAGTCAGTATTTCTTTTAAGCAGGATTTAAGAGGTATTTTTTCTAGATTGCTTTAAAATTGCTTTAAAAAACTCTCGCTCTTCTTCTCAAAGTCAATGTCCAACGAAACTAATTCGGTATTTTGAAGATTTCTAAATTTTACGTATCGGATCTTGTTCTTGTAAATCAAAGTTTTCGTCCTCAAACAAATCAAACTCTTCTTGATATCCTTGTTCTAGGGCATAGATTGAGGAAGCTGCAGAGACAATGCAGAGATTCGAAGAGGACTCCCTGATGTGTTTTCCCCTTTTTGAAGGACATTCCTAGGGGTTATAATATAAAAATATTTATAAAATTACAAAATAATGATTAAGAATCGACTTCCTGCTATTTCTTTGCTACACTTACATCATCTCTAGAATATGGAAATTTGCGTTTACGGTTTATTCGTACCATTTCTTTCAGTGAAATATATATTTTATATTTGTAATGCTTTGTATATCTCTGTATTGTCTGTTCTGTAGACTGAAATCTCTTCAATTTTCTCTGCTTCCGAGTGAAGTTCCATAGCCTCCTGCTGGTCGGGAAAATTCATATGACTTTCGCTTCTGTTGCCGGTTTTTCCAAATGAACTTCCTGCGGCCAAAACAACTTCACGCCACTTTGAGCCCGGCCCATGGCAACGTGGTAACAACTCAGAGGGAGATTCTGGTGGTGCGGGGTGGAAAAATGCAGTTAAATGAGCGGAAATGCAAAATTAACTCGCCACGAAAGAGCACAGAACAAACAAAGAAATTGTTGTAAAACTAAAAATACAAAAAAATGACCACTCCCCCTCTCACGCACACACACACACACACACTCACTGCCTGGAAAAGCGAAGAAAAATGAAGAGGAAATAGAGAATGAGAAAATCAAGTGGCGTGGCACAAAAAAACACAGGAGCAGAGAAAGGGGTAGAAAAAACGCAATTGAAAGCAAGTAAAGCGGCAGGAAACCGAGAGGCGAGCATACAAAAAAAAATACATATAATAGCAGAATAAACGTTGCCACTTGGCCAAATTTAATGCAAATATTTGGCCAGCCGCAAAAGGAAATGTTGTTTTTCCTCATCCTGCCGACAGCCTTTTTATTGTCTTTTGCTAATGTGATGTGGTCTCTTGTGAAGGGGAATTGGTGGAAATTTGGTGATTAAAAATTGGGTTAGAAATTATTTAAAGGTAAGGTTTCAAATATGTTAAATAAAACCTTAGCTAAATTAGAAGATTTCTTTTTTTATTTATTTGTACTTAGAAACGATACAAAAATATTGAATAAAGTAACTAACTCTTTGATTTTCATAAAAATACATTTGTTTACAGTATATCAAAGTAAATAATTAACTCTTAAGCAATCTTTAAAAATTGTTATTGTTAAATTAAACATAAATTTACACAACTCAAATACCATTTTCCACTTGAGGCTTTTCAGCGTAATGGAAAATGCTCTGTATCTGTGTCTGTTCCTGGCAATCTCTACCGACCATAAAGCAAATTTCCACGCGCCTTTTAAAATGTATATATATATATTTCCGGTTTGGCCGTCGCACCCCTGCAAAATTATCCCTCCTCCCTTCCATTCACAAAGAATTCCGCTGAGCTTGATAAATAGAAGAGGAGCGTTTGAGAATTGTGCATGATTTATCTTTACTTTGGCCCCGTTTTAATGCCATTCTGCTGTTTATTTCCTTGCTGCGACAACGACAACGAACGCACTTTTTGGGAT